ATCAGCCCACGTCTGTTCAATTCCCACATGTCTTGCTCAACACACCACCCCAAAACTTGAGGGAACTTTAAAACCAGCCTCCGAAACTCCAAACTTTGGAGGCATCCCCAATGTCTACAGTAGGTGATGGCAAGAGGATTCAGTCTAGAGAAGATGCTCCCTAAGGTAGACCTGACTGAAGCCATGAAAGCCAGTGTGGTGTAGTGGTTAAGAGCAGTGGACTTGTAATCTGGGGAACCAGGTTTGCTTCCCCACTCCTCCACATGCAGCTGTTGGGTGACCTTGGGCTAGTCACACTTCTCTGAAGTCTCTTAGCCTCACAAACCTCACAGAGTGTTTGTTGTGGGGGAGGAAGGGAAAAGGAGATTGTTAGCAGCTTTGAGACTCCTTTGGGTAGTGATAAAGCGGGATATCAAATCCAAACCTCCTCCTCCTCCTCCTCCTCCTCCTCCTCCTTTGTGTGAAAAATTGTGTCCAGAAGCGAATAGGCGCTCCAGGCAGTCCACAAAGCCTGTGTGTTGTGTGCGTGCACACATCTTTCAAAGGAGGCGAGCATGAATTTGGCAAATAAATATCTGCAAGGGAAGATATTAGCCAGCAAGACTTGGGTCAGGGGTGGGGAGCTTGTGGTCCTCCAGATTTTGCTGGACCACAAGTCCCATCATCCCTGACCATTGCCCATGCTGGCTAGGCCATGTGACTTAAGTAGTGATCCAGAGGGGGGAGCAGGGTACTCTGCATATACAACATGGATTTTAAACATACACGCCATCGGCAGCTCTGATGCCCAAAGCTGGGTTTGAATCGGGAATTTCAAAAGTAGTTTCTGGTACATCACAGGAACCAGATGCTAGGAAGAAAAAGAGGAACACTTTTAAGTGTGTCTGAATTCAGCTGTCAGGGAGAAAAAAGCCACTGTTTTGTAGTTTTGGAAAAGCCCACAGAGGCAGCTTCAGCCCAAAGCCACAAGTGCATTTAAAAGTGCTTTGGAATACCTCCCCCCCTGCATCAGATAATGTGCATGGCCCCTTCCAGAAGTTATGCTGTTCCCGCCTTCAGGTGTCATCACATTCCCTTTCCCTGGGTAGGAACTTGGCTCACACTGTCCTGCATCCAGGGGTGCCAACTTGAATAAAATATTGTGGGGGCCCAGGTAAGCCCCGCCCTGCATAATCAATCACATGATGCAGTGCACACACATGATTTCAATGGGAATGCCCATAAACTTTGTGAGGGCCCAGCCCCCTCAAATATTTCATTGTGAGGGCCAAAGCCCCACAGCCCCTAGAGTTGGCTCCTATGTCTGCTTCTAAGCTTGGAAACAACCCCAAAAGGTATCCTTCTTGCCTGTTCCAACACTTTCATTCACACACACAGAGCTCTGCAGTGAAACTGACAAGACCGAGGAAAGCCTGATCAATTTCATGAGAAAGCAGAGAGGAAGACTTTGAGGGAAACTGGCATCAGGGAAATCCATATTGTTTCCCCTAAACTTGCCAGTTTCAGTAGAAAGCAGAAAAGGTGTAGGTGGAGAAACTGGTGAAAACTGACAAGGTTTTACTACGTTAGTTTGTTGGGGGAGGAAAAGACGAAAAAGAGAGAAAGATTGGGGTGGGGGGCACTGCCACTCTTTTCAGATGGGATCCAATCACACACCAGCGAATTCAGGTTGCACAATTATAGTTTATTGGGAGGTCTTGCTCAGCAAACCCACTTCCACTAAAATGGGAGTTTTGTGGTAAGGAAATGGATGGACGGAAATGCACTGGCAAGTGTGAGGCAACGCTGCTTTGACGCAACTTCATCCAACCTTCCCAAACAAGTAAACCAGAATGAATGTTCATGAAATAACTTCCCTTGTCCAACATCCCTGCAAACAAATCAGGATGAATGCTCCACAAACAGTTCCTCTGGAAGTGTTCTATACGCATGGCGATAAATGAAAGAGAAAGGAAGCAGGAAGCTGTTCTCATTCCCAAATGCATACACCCCTGCAAACATGGCGGGAAGCGGTATTGTGCTTCAGTTACTTCCACTCACAAGATGCACAATGACAGTATAAGAACATTTAAAAATGCATTGTTGCCTTTCACACCAATGGCAGGAGAAACACTCAACTGTGCTTTTAGGGCGTCAGTTACAGATTGCAGACCCAGCCAAGGCTGTCATGTCTAGTTCAGCCCCAACTGGCATGCTTGAAAGTTGGCCGCCTTAGCAGCTCATCAGCTGGTCCATTTCTCCTCCTTCCTTGCATTCCAGGAGGGACACAAGAGGGGAAAATGGGGAGGAGCAGGCATTGAAAGTGTGAAAAGAAAATCCAAGTAATTTAATGTGATGTGGCTATGCTGATGATTTAGTCCAAGTAATTTAAGGTGCTGATGATTTATGGTGCCGGGGGCCTTCTCTGTGGCTACAATCCCAGGCTCCACAAGTCCGGGCCAAGAGAGATCTGGCTAGCCCCACTTCTAGTTACCTTCAGCCAGCAAGATTTTACTTAATCAGATTTTCGGTGGAAACAGTTAACCAAGATTAAACTGGAAAATAAAAGAGGGTGGAATTTGGATGAGGGTGTTGTGTAGATGCTGCACGAAACCTGTGCAGGCAGCCCCAAGTCCACAATGAAGTGCCCTGTGGAAGGACCGTCCGGCAGGCCTGGCAGGCACAGCTGCTGAAATCCTTTCTCCATGCAACTCCCAAAAGGTTCAGAATGTCTGATCCTCTCTTTCCTCTATTTTTGGCCCATTAGCCAACATGCAATATGCAAACAAACAAACATTGCAACAGGATGCTTTTACTCTGATGTTTTACCTGTCTCTTATGGCTGTTTTCAACACACTTTGTTGTATTCCATTGTGTCTGTGGTTTTAGCCACTTTGGGCACCACTGGCTCAAAAGAACCACAGGCAAAGAGGTCTATGTGTGCACAACATTTTTACATTAGATAGGGCAGCAAAAAACCCCACCCACCGCCCCACCCCTTGGCCTGGCTATGTGTGACGAGAGCAGGTGCAGGGAACCATGGGCCCTCCAGATGTTGCTGGACTCCAACTCCCCTCATCGCAGGGGGTCAATTCCCCACATCTGCTCAAGAGTGAACCCTGTTCTATTGATCAAGCAAGATTTTGTGAGGTAAAGGACAAGCTAGTGTTTCCTGCTCCAACTATAGTCTAGCTATAGGTCAACTAAAGGTTGACTCTTATTTCAAAGCTGATGAGGGACAGCATCTTCCATCACCACCAAGGGCAGCAGACTTAGAGGGCAAAGAAAGGGCAGGTCACTGCTGGACACACAGAGTTCTATCCTCAAGCACCTTAGGAACACAGGGAGGCTGCCTTAGAATCATTGAATTGTAGAGTTGGAAGGGACCCAAGGGTCATCTAGTCCAACCCCCTGCAATGCAGGAATCATTGCCCAGTGTGGGGCTTGAACACACAACCCTGGGATTCAGAGCCTCATGCTTTACCAACTGAGCTATCCCTCAGACCATTGGTCCTCTGTATTATCTGCACTGACGGGCAGCATTTCAGACAGTCTGTCTTTCCCCAGCCCTCTCTGGAGATGCCAGGGATTGACCTGGGGACATTCTGCATGGAAATTGGGTGCTCTATCCCTGTGTTTCTCAAACTTGAGTCCCCGGCTGTTGCTGGACTCCAACCCTCAGCACCCTTAGCTAGCAGGGCCAGTGGTCAGGGCTGATGGGAGTTGTAGTCCAGCAATAGCCAGGGACCCAATTTTGAGAAACACGCTTCTCCCCACTGTGTCCCTGCTCCCCACCTGCCCCCTCACTTTGCCTAATGGTATAGGTCTGGCCATGAGGGTGGTGGTTCCTAAGAGGAGCTCAAGAGGAGGCAAGCAAGGACGACTTCTGAGCTTTGCCTCTTTCACTTAACATAAGTGGCAGCCCTTGCACCCCAGACCCGGTGTGGGAGTGTGGTGGTGTGTAGGGACCTTTGATGATAGCTTTACACAATACATTAGTGCTACATGTAACTTGGAGAGTGGAGTATTCCTGTAACATAAAGAGCTGGACTGTAGGTACTTAGCACTAGTTAGGAGCAGATAAATCTTTAAAGCAAGATAGAGTTACAAAGACTTGCTGATCAATATATATATATATAATCCTCATCTGGTTTGTGATCCCTGGAAGGATGATGGTTTTCAGCTGCTTTCATTTAAATAATAAGGAAATGCAGTTCAAAAGGATCAGCTCTCTCATCTCAAAGGGGTTTTATGCATTTAATTTCCTTTGGAGAACAGGCCCCAGAGAGGACTGGGGAAAAGAGAGGCACTAAATATGAGCCAGCCCAGCCAATCAGAAGGTGCAACTTTTAGACATGAAGGGTTTCCAACAGAAGCAAAAAGGAGGAAGACCTTCAGGCCAGGCCAGTGTCTTCCATATGTCAACATCCTTGAAGGTTTGGGCCTAACCTCCTGAGACTACCCTGAACAAACAGCTGATAGTTTAACCTATTCAGCTGATTGTTATCACTTCAGACTAGAGACAGGGAATTTTATTATTATACATTGCATTTCTTAATACAGCTCTGCCCAAAGGACTTTCAAAGCAATATATAGCAAACCAGCCAAGAATAATGGCATTGAAAAAAATGAACCAGGGCGCAAATGAATTTTTTAATGCCTCTGTGCACAGAGAAATCTAGCACATTGTGGTAAGAGTTCTAGCTTACCTTCTTGACATCCTGGTTTTCTATGTGCCAGGTTGAGTGCATTCAATCCTGCCATCTCCCATTGTGGTAGAGGCTAGAAACTTGTTTACCATGCCATGAGTTACTTGCTGAGAGATGAATGCCCAGGCACCCAGATGGCCTCATCCGTTCTGCTTAGCAGGGGGGAGCCATGGTGATAGTACTTGTTGCATCCAGTATAAATACAGACCTTCTGTAGGCCAGGCTGTTTGTTCCTCTCCCATACAAATACCCCCTGTAAGTTGTCAGTTTGAGTTTGCCACTGATTTCTTTTTGTGGGTTTTGTTTCTGCAGGTCCATTCAGGAAGGTGGCCAGCAGGTAACACGCTTCTGCCTCACCCAAGAGCAGCAGCAGAGGAACTCTTCTCCAGAGAAACTCAGGGCATATACTCTGTATGATTCTCCATCGCCAGCTCAAAAACGAGACCAAACGTGATCACCATCCTCTTGGGGAGAAGAGAGCCCAGCTGAGATCTAGGATGGAGAATCCAAACTTTGCACCATTACTCTGGGAAGAAATGCAGACATAAGCGAGGCAGTGACTCAAAGCAGGCCCAGACTGCTTTTGCTTGTAACAAGCTGATCTCAAAATGTATATCTAGAACTCTTTCGAAGAGCTAATTTATTTTTGAATTTGCAGGTTTTAAGAATAATTGTTTTATTTTAATAGCTTTCTGCTTCCGGGGAGGTTCTTTCCACCCGCTCCCCTCCAGGACCCAAAACAACAGGAATGTCTTAAATCCTCTTGAGGTGATCTCCTGTCACCCTCCTTCAACAAGGACTTGAGCTCTAAAAGCCTCACTGCCTCCTCTCCCAATGGGGTTATGGTTATTCCACTGCCAGAAAAAAAACATATTCTGTACATGCTCAGGAGCACAACACCTTTGATGGTGCTAGTTTATGATTCAAGGCTAAATCCTGCCCCTAAAAAGCAGGTCCTGCCCTGGCCTGGTGAGACCCAGCTTCCTCCATTGAGGTCAGCTTGCCCCTTCTAGTGATCCCACAATGGCCCATTCTGGCCCAAGTCTCACTGGGATCAGCACACCTTGCTATTGCCTAACACAGCTACTCACCGCTGCTAAATGGTCACCATATGGTGGTGGGAAATGAGAGAAACCAAATGCTTCTGGGGTGGGTGTGTATCTATCAGCAGCACAGGCTCAGTAAGTGGTGCAGTGGTCATTCCTTCTCCCCAGGGAATCCTGGGAACTGAGGGACTCATAGAACGTAGTTCTGTGAGAATTCTGAGAACTCGCACCTAACCACAATTCCCAGGAACTGTGGGACTGGGTGAGCTATTAATCTTAAAGTAGCCTATAAAACAAACCCAAATTTATACTTCAGACATACTGGTACTCATTTTTTTCTGAACATAGTGGATTGCAAAGGATGCAAGGCCTTCATTGAGAGACTGCAACTCAGTGGTGGAGCACATGATGTGAACTGCCCTGAGATCTTATGATGAAGGGTGGTATAGAAGTCCTGATGATGATGATGATGATGATGATGATGATACTTTGCAAACAATGTCCCAGACATCCGGCTGCCGTGTGACAGCGACAGATGTGGCACACTCTTTCAAGGCCAAATCTGCTGCCTCCTTGACAGTCCTCCCCATGTTGCATCTACAGTGGCCTCTGGGCAAAACATCTTGGGCGGGCTCTGGTCGCAGACGCAGTCTCTGGCATCTCCAGGTAGAAGGATCAAGAAACTGATGGTGGCAGAAGAAACCCCTCTCCACCAAGATCCTGCAGAGTTGATAGTCCTTGGAAAATGGCCTGACTGGTCCAAGGCAGCTTTCTACATTCTCTCTTCGCCAGGGTTACTTGGCGACTGTGCTAATATCCCATCATTCCCCTTGTTGGGTGCCTTAAGGCTGGAAAATGACACTTCCTCACTAAATGTAACTGACACGTGCTTTGAATTGCTTCGTGGGGGCAGAATAACTGCCGAGCCCTTGCTTGTAAGCTACCTACTAAATTATGGTACATAAACTGGGGGCTTGCAAAAGGGATGAGGCCAGAGGTGACCACTGGAACATATACCATAGAGAGCAGGTGTGGGGAACAGCCCTGGCTACTGACCATGCTTACTGGAGCTGGTGGGAGTTGTAGTTCAACGGCCTCTGAAGGGCCAAAGGTTCTCCACTCCTGATTTAGAGAGGTGTGGGAAGCAGGCAGGCAGTTCCCGTTCCCAGATAGGAGGAGGAGGGAAGGGGGTCACCTGCTCTTGCCTTTAGAAGTAGCTTGATTATCTGCAAAAACCAGAATGGGAAGCTTTTCACTGCCAGCTGGAACATTGCTGGCTCATGCCTGCAGATCCAACTGCTATACAGACACAGCTGAAGAGGGTGTTAAAACAGCTGGCAACTCTAGCCTCCTGTTTCAAAGAACACAAAGCACCTGTACCTTTGAACAGTTCCCTGATTCTACAATACAAATGACTATTGATATGTATGGTTATATGGGTCCCTAGAAAGACATTCAAAGGGCATGAATCCCTTTGCAAATGGCAGGAAGTACTTTGTAATTATTCTGCTCTGATAATGCTATAGATGTATAAACATACATATGGAGAAACAGAGGGAGACTTTTTAAAAAAAGTTGTTTTGCAATTGTTTAAACCCCCCCCCCCAATTCAGGGCTTTTGGATCTTGCTAAATCTCAAGCACTTCAAAACACAATAAAAGCTATGATGGTGCCCTTGTTTGCAGATAAGACTATATATTTTCCAGGATTCAAAAACAAGCCAACATCCTCCACCCAATATAACATGTGATTTTGTAGTAAGAATGTTTTTTAGAAAGCCTTACCAACAAGGTTTTCTGCTTTCTGAACTGCTCCTGCTCATCTGCCTTTAACTGCTGAAGTTAAGGAAACACTTTAAAAAGTTCGGCAGGAGCCTGGAACTTAGAGGGAAAGCAAGGAGAGCTGTTCCTGCTGTGAAAACAAAGTGCTAAATATCTGCATGATGAGTTGCTACTTAAGGTACAGGAACTGCCAATAATAACGCTGGCAACCCTTTGGTCACAAATTTTACTAGCTATACAGTTCCAGGCTTTAGATGTGCAGTGTGGATGTGAACCTAGCCTGGCATCACCTCTTCCCCACTGTACACAATACAAACATTAATGTATTGTTTTGTATATTATTGTATTGTATATGAGCAACCTGATTCACACATCTTTCAGAATCTAAAACACAGCCCCAATATTTCACAAAAGTCAGTCTTCACACTCACCTTCCTTGAGCAAAACTGAGGGACTTGCTGCCTCCATTTCCCCAAGTCTGTTTTCCTAGAAGAGCTCTTAAGAGAAGCTTGCTTCCTACTGTCTCTTCCCATCTCCTCTACTAAGCCTAGGCAAGAGCACAGCATCCTTCCCCGCAGTTCACTTCATGGATTGAGGCCATTGTGACCTCAGAGTAGATTCCACCAATCAAAGACATCTCACTTAATTTTTGAGCCCCATCCACCACTAAGTGGGCTGTAGCTACATCTTGCTGCAAGGCTACCTTTTGAGATGGAAAAATGGGCTTGTGGCCTGAGATCAGGGCTTGCACAAATGTACCTAGAGCGAGTTGGGGTTGGGGTTGGGAGAGAGGGTGGTATATGTGAAAAGGAAAGAATGAATGGTAACATGCGATCAGTTCCCAGAAGGGCTGCTGTGTAGGCCTCTTGCAGCAAAAAAGCAGGCACAGGAGATGCTAAGCATCTGGGAGGGGGGCAGATTTAGGTATGTGGAACAGCCCCCAGGTGCTGCTGGACTCAGAGCAGCCCCTGCTGCCCACATGCAGCAGCACACACAAGCTGTAGGATGTCAATAGCTGCATAAGCAGAAATCCATCAGATATTGTTTTCCCCTAGGAAGCTAGGCTGATGAGGTTCCTGGAAAACTAAACAGCCCATTGCCAGGGGTGATTTTTATCAACAGAATGGGGTGGTATCTGGAAAGAAGGGATGTTGTGAAGCCTGGCAGGAAAGACAGGAGTTGAGGGAAGGAGGCTGACGTAGCCACATTCAGTGGGCGTGGCTGAGAGCAGGTAGCTTGAAAATTGAGGTCCAACCTTGTCATACTGCACCTATAGAATGTCTTCTTATCATTCAGATCAGATCTGAGATACAAAGGTGGCAACCCTAGCTGACATTTATCTTTCTCCCCAGAGAAGATGCTAACTGGGAAGAGTTATAAAGAAACCTCCCTGGGGAAGTCCCCCTCCACAAATGGAGAACCCCTGATGACATGGAACCACCTCTCTGTTCCCCTAAAAGTATAACAAACATACACCCCGCAGTTGGGAGAAGCCATCATTCAAGAGTCACAGAGCATATGCTAGGCACAAATAAGGTCACAGGTTAAATGCCCAGAATCTCCAGTTAAAGGATGCCTACTAAAATGGCTGGCAAAAACCTCTGGGCTGAGCAATTGTGGTTATGGAGAAATGGGTGGGATTACTAGACCATGAATAAACTACGGAGGTTATTTGTCCATTTGACTTCCCCGCAGAACCATGGGGACCATAGCTTGCCTCTCACAAAGCTACACTTCCCAGCACCCTGGAATCTCATAATGCTGCAATGAGGGGGGGGGGCACTTTCCAAGGCTGGCAGGAACGTGAAGTGTGTGAAAGGGGCCCTGGAACTCCCATAAGCCAGCATTTCCTCCTGCAAGCGGCTTTGTGTTGGAGCGCCTTCTATGATGATGTAGAGAGTTTGACCTCTGGGTGTCAAAAATGCTCCATTTCTCAGACTTTCTTAGTAATGGGGGAATTTTAGTGCTTAACATTCTGGCTTTCTGGCTCATGTTGCAGCCAGCACCCTAACGATCCCGATACCCCTGCGAGTGTGACTCAGTCCTGCATCCTAATATGCATAACAACATCACCGCCACGTCTGGAAGTAATTAAATGTCTCCGCACTCTTGTCATCTGACTTCCTGTTGCAGCTCTCTCGTCCCTTCCTCCAAAGGCTGAAGCGGCCTCTCCTTTTCCCACTTAGCCAGCAGCAGGACTCCTTAATAGGGTCTGGCATACCTCAACCCACCCCAAACAAAACACTCACCTAAACCTTGTGACCTCTCCCTGCTTAAGAGAGTCTGATTCCAGACTGGTAATCAGTGAGTCAACGGTTTAGCACATTTGCACATGCATGCTCTGTCTGGCCCTAGAAAGTCCCAGGAGACCCAATCACCCTTGCCAATTCCACTAGCCAGGAAGCTCACTTTCCCAGTCTTGCTTCAATCAGGCAAGTTCAGTCCCTGGAAGGAAGAAACCGTCTCATTGTGCCATGAAACTAGGCAGTGCAACAAGGCTTTCTTTGTGGTGGCCCCTGCTATGAGCGGAGGTGAGGTAGATCAGCACAAGACGACTTCACAATGGAGGACTCAGCACCTTGAGCATTGCCAGGAGGGTTTGTGTGTGTGTGTGTGTGTGTGTGTGTGTGTGTGTGTGTGTGTGAGCTGCCCCTCTAAATCAAGTAAATAAATAAAAATTACTTAACTAACCAACTGCATTGCAGATAACTTGGTTCTGCCCCACCCCCAAAACTTGCTCCCCAACATAAATCCTGGTTACGCCCATGAACAGCACCCTTCCTTTTTAGCAAGATGTGTGCTGACTCCCATAGGCACCACTGATCAATACCTGCTGCTGGAAAAGAGCAGCGTTCCAGAGCCTCAGTAAGAAAATCTACCCACTTTTTGGGCAGAGCTCCAGAAGCCAAGACCCTCAGCATCAGCACCAGCACTGCTACTGTCACCACCACACCTGGGACGGAGCACTCAGCCCATTTCTCATACTTTCAGCTCTGCAGATCTGCTTCAACAAACAGCCGTTTATCAGCAAGCCGCCTGATGGCTGTTGGGGCTGGTTAGGGCAGCTATAAATACTTTAAAATTAATAAAAATGCTGTGCAAGGATATTCCTTTCCAAATCCCCTTTTCTATACCTCTGTTAAAGATGCAGGAGCCCTGGGTCTTTTTTTACCTAGTCACCCTACTGCAGGTTGTGGAGGAGCTACCAGCCCTGTTCATGCATTTTGAGGAGGACTTGTCAATGTGTGGGCGTGGGGGAGCATGCACAAGTGTGCTAGCTTTCCTCCCCATCCTTGTCTCCACCGCCCTCTGCATCTTCCCCTGAACTGTGTGCAGCAGGGAAGCCTTCTGTACTCAGGGAGGCTTTGCATGTTTCGGATCCTTGATTTTCCAGAGCTCCAAAACACATTGGATCAGTCAAGGAGGGGAGCCTTTGTGTGCAGTGACATTTACCCACACCCCCTGCTGGTATGCTGCCCTTGGAGGGTCGGCAAAGGTTGAGGGCAGCCCTCTGTCCAAAAAGGGGTTCACCACCCCTGCTTCACACGTGTATCTAGATACACACTTGCCAACTGAGAATTACCATTCATGCATTTGATGGAGGAAGCTGAAGTCAAAGAAGTCCAAAGCGCAACAAACTTCATTTGCAGCTGTGTGGATCCTCCAGTTTGGGGGCCAAGTGCAGATCCACAGGCCATGCCTCCTCCTCAGACCACACCCCTCTCCAGATTGCTCCATGCCCTGCCTCAAGTGCTTTTCCTCTGGTTGGGATGCATCTATAAACTATGGTAATGTCTCATTTGCTTGACTGTGTGTGAATGGAGAAACCTCTGACTTTTGTTGGAATGTAGACTACCATACCAAGGAAAGAATCATATCCATTTGCTTGGCCTGCTTTTGCCTCCCTGGCAGATTTCCTATGAGCAAATGCAGTCCTCAGACTGAAATATGCTCCCCGACCCTGCTTTAAGGTGGCATGAGACTGCGGTTTTTGTAGCATCCTGTGTTTCTGAACGATGCAGGCTGTCTCAGTTCAAGTGTGGAGAAAGGAGGTAGAGAAAACTTGTTCAGACCAGCAGGTTGTCATTACAGCATGACTGCAGCAAGTCCTGAAGGAAGTGACTCTGTGCCAGTACCAATCTTGGATAAGGCTAGTGCATTGTGTTCAGTGCTGCCTGAAACAGACCCCCTCCGCACCAGTGGAAGGGCCATACGTAGCTCAGCAGTGGTAGAGCATCTGGTCTGCAGGCCCAAGGCATTAAGCTCCATCCTCAACATCTCCAAGTGGGGCTGGGAGAGAACCCTGCCTGAAATGCTAGACACCACTGAGCTGGATGAACCTAGGGTCTGATTTAGTAGAAGGTCTGGACACCAATTCCTGCCTTCACCCACCCAGGATCCACCTCGCATGGTGCTGCCTAAAGCAGGTTGCTTTGCTCTTCTTTCTGGTAGGGCTAGTTCTAGTTGTGCCGTTGTTTGAGAAATGGAAGCAGAGCTCAAACACATGGAAGAATGGTCCAGCTTTGGGCTACAAGAAGCAACATGCATGGGCTGCAGCAAAGGCTCAATTTACTGGTTGGTTGAGATCCAATGGTTTCTATACAGTCTGTACACTGCATCCTCCCCCACCCCCATTCCTTAGCCAGACCACCCTGCAGTGTTGCAACCACCCACCTCTCAAATCTGGCCACTGACAATGGGTTGCAGCCCCATTGAACAGGGCAATTTTTCAGGACAGGGAAATTCCTCAGTGTAGGAAAAAATGGCATTGGGATCATTTCCACGGGTGCCCAAAACCAACTGACTGCAGCTTCCAATATACATAGACTGCTTGCACACACAGCAAAACAGAAGTGTGCAGAATAGTCACATGTCAATCTGCATGAAGACG